AAAACTCGTTTATAATCAAAGGTTTTATATACAGAATATGGATTTCGGAAATACTATGTATCAACATATTTACATGATTAATATGTTTATAAAATATTAGATAACTTTATAAAAATTAAAACAATTAATTATGATTGCAGTTTAGAGAAATACATTATGTAATATTGTAATATTTATATTGTAATACAGTATAAATACAGCGTATTGAGAAGCATTACTTATTAATGTTGAAAATTAACTGACAATAAAATATCAAGTGCTTCAATGCACTTTTAAAAAACTTCAAAGTAACCTAGTTCCAACTAACGTATTTCCATAAGTATTTTATAAAACTTATAAATATTTTTAAATCTTTTTATAATATCAATATTATTATGCATTACTTTTAGACAATGAAGATTGCAAATTGATATTTGATGATCACCATGGTCACTTTGCTTCTGGCAGGCACTCCAAACCAAGTAGAGAGTGGTCCCATCGCAGCCTCCCTGTGCATCGCAGGATGTCAAATAGCGTTGGGCGGGTGCGCCGCCTGTGGTGTGGCCGCTACCACCGTCATCGTCGGAGCCACCGCACCGGCTGCTGGAATTGCCTGTACAGTGGCGTACACGGCGTGTGTGGGCGCCTGTACCGCCACCACTGTTTTGCCTACACCTTAATAGTCTTGTTATCACCATGGCACAAATTATATTTATATAAGATAATATTAATATTATTTAGTTTAGTTATAAATGTATTTGGTGTTAAAGATTTTAAAGTTGTTGTGCTGATAATATATTTTTGAAAATTACTAATTACTTAAAATTTAATATAAATGAATTTTAATATTATATTATACTGTTTGTCATAATGTGTTAAACATTAACACAAATAAATCTTATTTATTGTTGTGTTAAACTATTTTAAATTAATTAATAGTAATTGTTTTTAAGAACATACAGTACCAAGATTAGTAATTTCTAGTAAAATTAAGGTGAACGAAATATATTTAAGTAGATTTTATTAATATAAATTTATAATATAAATTGATTTCAAAATAATATAATTTTGTTAAGATAATACTGGAATAATTCTCCGATAATCAGGTTAAATTAAAACTCAAACAAGCTACTAAACCTGTACTGAAAACTCCATCATTATAATTTTGGTAAAAAAACATGAAATATATATTATTTAAACTAATGAGTTATTGTTTTTGAGCTTCCAATTTAGTATCGCATAAGGATTTTTAAGTTTATAACAATGCATAAAATACAAAAATTATTATAATATAATTGGCAACAATTACAAAATAATATAATTGATCATGCAATTGTTCGAATAATCTATGCCATTTATTTTGAATTTGAGAAAGTTTTTGTCCAATTTGTTTTAAATTGTTCCCATGATGTCCATGTTTTCCACGATTTCCAGGATGTCGATGAAAGTACCGGGTCATTTGTGGGTCCAGGAGCCAACATAAACTTTCCTAATTCAGATCCAATGCTTACAAGTTGCTCATTGATCACGTGATTCTTGGCTTTGGCATTAATCTGTGTCGACAATAGAGTTTTTATGTTTTGTCCTTTGCATTTTAGCTCGCAAAGATTCTTGATCATTTCGTCGATACCATCGACCGTAATAGCAACATTTTCACCTCCCTGTTTGACACTTAATATGAGTTCCTTTTCATATTTGTATCTCTTTAGCAATTCCTCGAGCTTATGGATTGTGTCCGAATTTTTTTCATTTTTAATTAAAATTTCCACGTATTTCACGAACGAGTCGTTGAATGGGGTTAGAGCGTTGTTAATTAGAAAACACGCAAATTTAGCCTTGCTTGTTGTAATCGTTTCATTCTCCTTTTTCAACTCATCTATCTGATTTTTAATATCTTTAATTTGAGCGTGTTGCACCTGGACCATATCTTTATTTTCGTTAAGACGCTTATACTTAATCTCATCCCTGACCTGTTTCCTAACCACCCGGGTCTCGTAGTTGATGTGTAAATGTGCTTGAAACGAGTGGCCGCACCCGAAACACGTTTCCGATTTTGTTACCTTCAGGTAGCGTAACCACGCTTTACCCTCGTCATTGTACTTAATATTTTGATCGGGCACAATATTGACCGAATTCGGATCACGCCATTCGAATGGACTTGTCCCTTCGTACTTATTGAACGCCACACAATCTAGCAGACCTGCATTGCCCACAATATTACCGTCACTATATTTCAAGTAGCATGGTGAGTGACATTTGGTTTTGTAATGCATCTTAATCGTGCCATTAATATTCTGTTGACTGCAACATTTTGTATCACTGTACACAGTCATTGGGTGTTCTAATGGTTCGGTTTCGATCTCCATCGATGGGATATACAGCTCTTTCTGGAGGGCGTCAATATTTCCCTTGAACTCCTCGATTCGCTTTTGATGTGCCTCACATTCCTTCACACTTCTGGCGATAATAGTCGCGATGTCAGCCAATGGTTGAGTCAATAGAAGTATATTCTGTTTGGCGTTATTGAGGGATAGGGTGTCCATCACCTTATGGGGATGAAGTGATTTAATTTGATCCAATAAACGATGGCATTCGTTGACTGATCTATAATATTATCGTTATGATTTTTTATAAAACTCAATAGCCAAGAAATTAATAGATTCATGTACCTATATAATTATATATGCTTATGTTCATCAAAGAGCCAATGCAATGAAAAACTTTGAACATTTTAAGATTAGTTAGTATTGAGATTAATGTTATAAATTATAATTTTAAAAATTGGTCACTACTAATATGGCACACATTGCTCTTTGATACTCATAGACTTACAATAATTACTATACAGTATAATTCTGTTTATTAGTTTATATCTGAGAAGCCAATGCTAATAATGTAACAGGAAAAATTCTTTAATTTTAATGTAACTTGCATGTAAAGTTTGAAAACAATATTAAAAAATTAAAATTAAAGCATTTTTCCTGATACACAGTAAGCATTGGCTTCTCACATATAACAATTTTGCCTTGTATTTTTTAGTGTTAAAATAATAAAAGCTAACCTGCACCAACTAGTTTCGTAATCGCTTATCAAGGTGTCTTGAAAAATGACATTATTAGGCGGTGCCGACGCCACTGCGAACCGAAAGGCCTCGTTGTCGAAGCAAAAGACGGTTTTCTTATTATAAGGTATGTCCACATTTTGATTGCCTTCCTTGTCTCTTTTAATAGGGACTGTAGTGCGGGTCCGGTATCCCCCGGTTCGTAGTGCGTGGACCGAGCGTTGGTAAACAGGAACAGTATGTTGTTTGAAGCAAGTGAATTAAATATACAAGGTAAATGCTCCAAATAATAGTTGAGTATTTCATCAACTTTGCCTTTTTTGGGCTTTAAGTTGGCAACATCGAGGCACGAATCTCGATTGATTGGTTCTAATTGTTATGATTAGTTAGCCAGTAACACAAATATGAGAAACATTTTGAACTTTATTAGCAAT